AGTTGTAAGAAAAATTGGAAATTTCTCATCATATACTAAGTTTAGTTCCATTTTAGAGGGAAACTACTGCTTGGAATGAAAGAAAACTTACATGATAAAATGTATATTTAAATCCGAGCAAAGTGCATAGATAATCCTTGTTAGCTTTTATTTCCTTCAGCAAGGATATATAGAAGTCTTTTTGAGAAACACAACATTCATAGCATTCCAGTGCAATATCAATTACACGATTAGGGTCCAAATTGAACTGGCCTAAAATTGAAGGGTGTTACAAGTCTATTCGTAAATCTTATCAAGACATTTTCAAATGAATTAACCTATTAGGCACAGCACACGAGTCATCATCGTTTTGGCTGGCAGACCGCCACCTGCATCCATAAGCTCCGTAATCAACTTAGCATAGCCTTCGCTTTCTTCACGCAATAAATTATACTTGGCTTGCTTATAACTGAAAATACGGAGCGTGACGTGGAGCACCATCAAATTTTCCAAGAATCCAACCTCAGGGCTTCTGTAGAGCTCATCAGGGAGGTCATTCAGGTAATGGTGCACTTTTCAGAAACAGTCTGTTGCATGGTGCAGGGGACCAAAAGTGGGCCACATAGATAGGCTTCATTTTTGCTATGCGTCTCTAGGAACGGTAAAAAAGAGTTTGTTGAGAAAGGGCTATTCAAACCACCTTGTCGAGCTCTGTTCTACTTGTTGTTGGCATAGTTTATGAGAAGTCAGAGGTTATTCGATACCCTGATCACAAGTATGCCACTCACTTTTCACGTGGCGCAAGGCGTCGCCACTTTGGTGTGATATTTTTCTGCTCGCACTCGTTGTCAACGAGCATACAGTTCTTTTCAGCGTCGTATTGCCGCCAAAAGCTTCGGGACCAGGAATAAGTGTCAATCATGAATAGAGCCTCGAATCAACCCTGTATAAGAGAGTTCGGCGGAGAAAGAACATCCGAGCTTTCTGGGAGTCAAAGAACCGACCATTTCGTTGGCAGTGACACTCGCACTCCCACATCACCGTAACTGTATATGTCAGCTGCGGCCAGTATCGTTGAAAATGAATCGATGAAAATTATGCATTCTCTGGGTAAACACTCTATCTATTGACTTTTATTCGAATGAACCCCTTTCTCAAATGCTCTGCATACTCAACACTACTGTAAAACAGAGCACAATAATATGGTTCGAATCACCCTTTGAGAAAATTTTTCACTCCCTTTCTGGCGGTTCCGGAAACGCATAGCAAAAATCAAGCACATTCGCTGTCGTGGTCCACGTATGGACCCCTACAACATGCAACAAACTGTTTCTAAAAAGCGCGACGACCTGAACGACCTCCCTTACTGGGCCTTGAACAAGGAGCGTAATGTCATTATCTATGCCAAATTAGCTTACTTAGGAAAAAAGAAAAACAGAGCTACTTACTACAAACGAGTTTTGAGTCGCACCAGTTGTTGTTTGTTTGCAGGTAAGGATGCATCAAGCACATCAAGCTCTATGCGTAGTATATCAGCAGGGATAATCTAAAGGTAAATTAGATAGAACTGGAGAAACTTTTGTAACATAACACCGAATTTCATGAAGAAGACTCCTAAATGTAAAAAAATATATGAACATTCCCAAGAGGATTCGCAGGAGGAGCTTGCAAAGGAATAAACTAGGAGGTAAGTCTTCACCTTTGATCATTTCCTTCTGCGATGCGCCAAGCATTCTTCATCCATTCAGAATCGTAGTGGCATAATTGAATGGCTGGTGGAAGCCAGACGAATCTAGTACCATTTCACCGGCCAAAGAGGGTAAATAGCTTGGTTAACCTAGCGGGAGCCGGGAGGAGGATCTGATCACCAGATCGTGAGCGGCTAAGCGTGCCGCTTGCCACTACACTACCTCTGCCTTCCAGGGAATAGTGCCCAGGAAATTAAATGAAAGAAAACTGTCAAACTGACAACTCAAGTTGCAATCGATTTCCTGTAAAGCCAGAAAGCGAACCATTCAATGGGAAGAAGCTAAGTTGAATTTAACTAGAAAATGCAGCAGGGAAGTGCTGTTACTAGAATGTTATTATTAATCAAACAGCTGTAAGGTGAAATAAGACTATGTTCGCAAGCCAAATGGGAAAACTATGACTGATGCAAAGCTAAGCGTACCGCAGGCCCTGATTTAGAACTAGAATACAATTTGAACTAATCACGCAGCCTTACTTGCCCCCCCCCCCTCCTCCACTCTTTTCGTCCCCTTGTGATCCATTTCTCCATTGTTGCAGGCAATCTTTCCCAACAAGTATGCTACCGCTACCCTCGCACATCCTGGAGAGATGTGCGACTAACTAGACACAGAGTAGCAATTGCACAAAAATTACAGGCTCCGATTCCAAAAGTGTTCCGCACGTAAAGCCTCTACGGGCTTGCTGCTCCATATAGAAGGACACAACGCGGTGTAGCTTTTTACAATTCAGGAAAGTACAACAGTAAATACTGCAAAATGTTTCCAAGTAAGAAGCTGATAGGCGAAGATAAAGTTACCTGATCACATATCAAATTGACGAATTCGGTAAACTTCTGTACAGCTTTTTCTTTCTTTTCACTGGACTGGGCATCACCTTCTATAATAATTAACACATCTAACAAAAGTGATGGTAGCAGCGGATTCGACGCCTAAAACAAAAGGATTATGATGCTATGCACTTCGGATTTAAAAAAGAAACTTGCTATGTCTCTATCAAGGGGTTTTCCAGGTCATAGAGCGCATTTGGACGGTTTTTGCTGTGGGGGCTCATGCACGGAATAGAGTGAACAGGTAAATTTTGAAAGAGTGAATCCACGAATGCAAAGTGAAGAAGGGAAAATCACCCTAGACGAGTCATTCAAACAAGTTATCGCACTGTGTACCTCTAGAAGCGCTGAGTAGTTTTAGCGTAAAATGTGTCTGTCTGCGCCCAATATCGCAGAGGTGCGAAGGGCGCAGCCACGCTTAAACGGTGAGTCGATGGCGCTTTTCGTGAAATATTGCAGTTTCTGGACAACCATCACCTAGATCTGTCCAGCACAAGGCAGTATAACCGTGGCCTCAAAAGGAGACATTTTACGAACAACGCACCTATGCCATGCTGGATTAAGCAACCACGCCCACTCGCTTCTCCGGGTTATGGAGTGAATATATAGAAAACAACATTCAATGTGGTCATTAATCAAGCACCCTCTACGGCACGCAAGCTATGGGTTGGCCATAAATTTATGCGCGTTTTTTCCTGCACAATAGGTTTTTATTATAAAACGTGAGAATTGCTTTTGGGAAGTTTGACAGATAATTTCCTGCTCTACGACAGTGTGGTTACCTTCGCACTGGTTCTTGATTTTTTTATTTATTTAGATGAAATGGAGTGTCGAGTAAATCACAAATGTGAAAGTAACTTGCCGCTTAACGTAGACTTCGAATGGCAGGAAGAAGCTCAAAACATGTGATTTATGCGAGCCAGGGAGGATGCTTTCTAGGACGGCCTGAAACTGGATCAACCGATTCAGAGGTGGGATTTCGGACCATGAAAATGTGGAGATTTTCCATGAAAATGTGCATCGCACGAGGCGCCTCTCTTCTGGGATCGACGCCCGCACAACATCATCCACCAAGTTTCTTAACCTCTCCGAATTCAATGAAGGTGAGTTCTCAAATGGAGATGTTGAAGCCCTTCTACGACATCTATTATTTCTCCATCCTTCGGCATCAATCTCCATAAATAAGGTGATTCAGGAAGCTCTCACGATCAGTTGGACTCATAGGGCAGTACGCTGATGCTAGTCTGTGAGATGGAAACTGAATTCCTAGAAAACACTTATAAGCTTTTTAAGGGACCTAGTTTCTCGGCCATATACTTAACAGATGGGCTTGCGCGGTTATTGTTTTTCGATTAGATGTAAAAAAAAGAAGACGGTCGAAAATACGATCAATTTCATCGATCTGACTCTCTAATTTGAGCACTTAAAAAACAGTGGATATAGAATTTTCAGAAAAAAGAGATGACTTTTCATGGGGTGAGAAATGTCTGTAAATTATGAAACTCAGTGGCAAAACTTTTCATCTTTAGCGCGAAATTTCGCGGTGAGAAAAAAGAACGCCACTACTGTGGTCAAAGGAGATGAGTGTTGAAGGTTCGGATCTTTTTACGACAGCTTTTGCTTGGACAAAACCTTTAAACCTATACCAACAAGAAAATTGGTTTTCAGAATTGTAAAATCCTGTCACCCTGTGGGCGGCTCACTCATTCCTACACTCCTCGGCAGAGGCAATTGCAACAATTGGGGCCGGCGCCATGTATTCGTTGGGGGACCCACGTTGCTAGCTCTGCCCTGCCCCAATCGGTGCGTGCAGTCCTCGATTATCGCTTTTAACACAAATTACGACTGACGTAACCAGCATTAAAAAATACGACATAGTATTACTGAATCGATATTTCCAAAGGCGGCACTCGCTGGGTGGAACGGGATTTTGCGAACTTTTGCAAATGTGCCGAGACATTTTGCAAAATCCTGTAAAATTACCAAATGGGCCAGTTCCACGATTCTTAAACTGGTTTATATAACCTAAATATAAAGAAGTTATGGATTCCGGTCAAACACAAGCAGCAACAGACTAACTTACAAGACCTTATGGCCGTGTCGTTCTTCCTCCGTCCCCCATTTTTCCTCGGTCATTTGCCGAAGGTAACGTAGTGGCAGGTGGCACACCTACCACGCGTATGTTCTGTGAGTCAATCCCCTGGCTCCTGTCCAGGCCAATAAATCCTTCTTCGGAAACAGTAATTCGAACCAGTTTCACCAGGGATAAAAAAACTAAGTTGCACATCATTGTGGCTCCTGCAAGTCTTGGTGAGTGTCTTTCATAAGTCACTAATACATGAATGAAGTAGGATATGCGCCGCATCCCAAAAAGGGATTATCCTTGTACACCCTCGCCTTCAACTCCTTTCAGACCCTCGCCTTACACGACTGCAGTTCGAGGTGCTCCCTCCCCAGAGTTGATACCAATATCGGGAAGTCGCAAACTATGTCTCGTACATCGAATGCCATCGCAAGCCATATCAAGGCGATAATCAAAGAAAGCCACTACGATTCTGAATGGAAGTTCAATACGTCTCGCATTATAAAAAGTGTTGATCAATGGCAAAAGCTTTATCCTCTATTCGAAAAAAATAGTATTTACTATTGCAATGCGTGTACCGATGTCCAAGGAACGGCCAAGAATAGCATCGTGTGCCAATGACCAGCTCCGTTAGTTTCGGGCCTTTCATGAACCAATTAACTAAGGACCGCGCTTCATACACACGGCCTCCGCGGCATGCCGTGGCCTCGCGGCCTTCTTGCGGCATTTTCCAATCCGATACGCTATACTTTGCTTTGCTCTAAAACTAACACGGATGCCGGCGGATGCCGTCTGTATGAACGCGGCCTAACAGGACATCTCAGTGGCCCGCGCCAATGACGTTCAGAAAATACAGGAATTTACAAATGTGCCCAGTATGATGATGACAGACTTGCTTGTCCCCAGTCCCATTTGAAAGGCAATTTCAGGCGCAGTTTGGGGAAAGACATTTGCACTTCTCTACTCCACCAGTTCCGCTTCCAAGACTCATGCCTGGTTTCTACAAGCTTCGGCTGATGTCATTTCATGGCTTCACCAGATTTCACAGGTATTCACTGATGGCCCCGGCCGTCGATGGGAAGCAGCAAAAGAGCAACTGTGCCCCCCCCCCCCCCCCCACTCCCCTCGCCGGCGCCGAACTGCGCCCGATTTTATCTTGAAATCGTATCAAATTAGTAATAATCCACGTTTTAGGCACCGTTCACAGCTTGCGATAAAGACGAGATGTAGAACGTATCGATTGGGGCAGGGCGGAGCTAGCGACGTAGGGTCCCGCAACGAATACCTGGCGCCGGCCCAAATTGTTGGCAAATTGCCTCTGCCAGGGTGTAGGAATCAATAGCGCCTCCTGTGGGATCAACCATCAACCTGCTTACCAGTTGTTCGTGTTGCTGGAAGAGATCAGCGCAAAATAAACCCCCTTGTTCTGTTCCATGCAAGGGCCTCTACGTAAAGCGAAGAAAAAAGTGAGTAATAACTTGAAAGTAACCCCTCTCCAAATGAGAAATCGTGTGTAAAAGTGACTCAAAATTTAGAAAGCGGACAGTCAATGTGATCAAATATCATATATCTGTGATCTAACACAAAATATACGAAAAAAAAATATTCAAGAAACTCCTACCATGAAACTGAAAAAAACCAACTCTGAAAAAAGTGTCTCACCCTTATTTCTTGTAATTTCAGGAAGGCATCGTCAGGTGTAATATCGAGTGAAATTACTTTCTGACAGAGCTCCAATACAACCAACAGGGTATCGCCATCCTTTCTTGGCGACATTTGTTCCTGTAAAACAATGGCAAGTAAAAGAACTCTGAATTCAAAAGCTTGAACAAAAGAGCGCAGCTACCGGGCACGGAACAATAGTTCTGCTGAAGCGCCGAATAAATGCAAATAACGCAGTGACTTTTACGCATGTGATTGCAAAAGAAAAGCTCATTCAGTGAGTCTCATCGAAAACAGTGTTATAAAACAGTCAAGAAACAAAAAACAAGGAACGCAAAACACATGGCGCCCTAGTCAGCATGTGCGCTCCATCGCGAATCCGTTTGGGGCAGGGTCAAACAAACGTCGCGGAATCCAGGACGAGGCGAAAAATGAATTCGGCTGCTTGGAGCGAGATCATATCTGCAGAGGCCACTACTGAATACAGGTAGCTTACAGGATAAATGATGCGTTTGGAAAGGAAATTGAGTACATAGCGTACACTTTGGAGGTGCTGATCAGCGCTCTAGGCTGCAGTTCTTATTCATCGCATGAACATGTACGGAAAGCCTATTCAGCTCTCTAGATGAAGTGGGCTTCATAGGAGGAGGTCCTCATGGTGTATCCGAAGCCGACTTCAGAGCGAAAAGTCCGGGACGCGGCCGTAAATTTACGCTGCAATTAAGCTACAGCAAAGATGTTTGTGCTTATTAGAGAAAGAAACCCCCTATAGTTTTCAAAATATTGTAGGTCTCCGTACTACATCATGTCTGAACGAATTTATACCATTGAAAAAAAAATTGCGTTCGCTAGAAAGTTCCACATTATTTTGTGGTCAGAAGCCGTCATGCAAGCTTGATGAAACCTGCAGTGTGTTTCGTATAGAGCCTAGCCTCTAATAAAAATGGTTTCTGAGTGATGCGCTTATAGCGCTTCAATCTCAATACGCGACGCAGCCGCAGTATGCTCAATGCCTCGGCTTCGTGATTTTTCCATTGGAGGGCGTTATCGTAATGTTTTCCCAGAGTTCCTTTGGGGCAGTACACTAATTCTGAGAAACTAGTCTCTTCAGTTTTTGTACTTTTGCTTTGGTAGGATTGTTCTTACAAGGGAG